GTAGAGAAGTTGATCATAGGGCAATCCAAACAAAATGGTGGTCAATGCATGGCCAATGCCAAAAAATTGGCGCCATAAATTTAATTCAAGCAATCGTGACATTTTTCATCAAAAAATTGTTTTTACTGTATTTTGTGGTGCTTTTAGATGATTTTCTAGTGTTTGAGAGGATAATTTTCGTATTCTAAGATGGAAAGTTTTTAGTTTAAGAAATTATTAGTAGAAAAAAGGCATTGGCCTCCATTTTGAATTTCATTTTGACAAGTCGTTGGATTGCCCTATTATGTACCGAGCGCTTTTATAAACCTCGGCGCTTCGCGCCTCAGTCTTATAATGCGTAAGCTATATAATGACTTTCTCTCAGAGATATGAGAGAGTTGTTAATTAGAATAGAATAAGGGTCCATCCTGCGCAACAGGCCGAATTTGAAGGACCGCCATTTTTATCACTTGTCAAATTAAGTGTTGGAAAAATAGGTCATGAACAACTCGTAAGTCCAAAAATAAGCAGAAATAACAAAAAAAAATCTTTTAAAACACCGTTCTGATAAAAATATCTCATAAAAAGCAGGAAAAATCGCCAAAAACAACAATCTGTAACTAACCAAAAGTAAGGTTATGTTGTGAAAAATTTGTCAGATTGAAGTTGTCAACGTAAAGACTAATGGCGTTTCCGATTGGTAGATTTAATGCGCACTGAGTGTATTCTCATCCTTTTTCATCAACCTGTAGAAGAAAAAGACAGAAATAAAGAAAACTGTACTAGATCTACTAATCGGAAACGGCATAAGTGAAAAGTGATAAAAATGGCGGCACCCTATGCGTTACCATAAAATCGGATGCGCAGTCGTCTAAGCGCATTCTATTTCCCTCACATATCTCTGCTTTCTCTACCGAGGAATATATAGAATTTTTTTTACTATTACTAGAAAATAAAAAATAGTTTTGAAATCTGTGCTCAAACTATTTTTTCTTGTCGAAAGTGCTGCCCTCTATCAACAGTTATGGTAACTTCTTATGAGGTACATACAGGAACCTGTTTTTTTCTAAATTGACAGTGTGAAACTGAAATTAAAAGTGTTTTTTCTTGAGCCCAGCAGTTCGAAATAATTTTGAAATCTGTTTTGAACCCGTTTTAAAATAACGTTATTACTTTCATTCGAGAAAAAATGATTTTTTCAAACCAGAAGAATTTAACCATACATAACCTAGAATTTTTGTTTGTTTTTTTTTTTTCTGGTTATTAGCCGCCTATTTTCTATTTTTCAAAGTGTTCTGTTTATGATTCTATAACCCCCTACAAAAAACACAACAGAAATATAAATATAAATAACAAACTTTCAACTTTTGTAAACTACTGCGCATGTGTTTGTTTTTGAACCGATGCGAAATCTCGTTTCAAAATATTTTCAAACAGTTTTGTTATGACGTCATTAGTTCAACGCGAAAATGTAATGTTTTGAATTAGGTTCAACCTGGTTTAACCAATTTAACCGAGAAAAAACACCTTAAACCAATAGTAACCTGGTACATCATGACAATATCCTTGCGCCATGACGTCATTTTCATTATTGACCTAGGTTTTTTTTTCATTATTATTATTAACCTAGGGAGAGAAATTCATTTTTTCCTAAAAAAAAAGGATTGAATAATGACTATACCTCTCAGGTTGGTAGTAAAATGGTATACTATTCAACAAGCGGGTAATGATGGCTATTACTCACGAAAGATGAAGTTTGCACTACGAGCCGCAGGCGAGTAGTGTAATCATCCGAGTAATAGCCATTATACACGAATAGAATACCTACTATACTTTTTCTATGATAAATAGATAATAGGCTCGAGTTATGCGGTATTTTATTTAATTTTCGTAACAAAATTAATTGACAATTCTGACAGTTGAAGGAAAAAGTGAGGTTAGGTTAGCACAAATCAGCTGTCAAAATGACTATATGTTGTCAACTTGTCGAATTATCAGATTGGCTCTTAAATAGTGGAGTAATGAGACCAGGATATTTTCATTGGTTGAAAACAATTAAGTATTGAAAAAAAACTCAGTGCGTATGAGTAATCATTCAGATTGATCAATAGAAAATGGATGTATAATACGCATATTATTCAATACTCATAGAAAAAATAATCGTAGGTAATACCATAAGAGCTCAGATTTAGCCGGATATTTTTTGGCTTGGTCTCGAATACTTACTTTTAGGAAATTTAACGAGAGCTGTTCCGACAAAATCACGAGAGCGCAGCTCGAGTGATTTTGTGGAACAGATCGAGATAAATTGCATGAAAGTAAGTATAAGAGAGCAAGCAAAAAAATATCCTGCTCAAAATCTGAGCTCGAATGGTATTTAGTACGGCAATTCCACGAATGCATAATCAAAATAAAATATGGAAATACTTTTTAAAATGAACAGTTATTGAAGGTACAATTAGAATAAATATTTTCCCCTTACAATTTGACTCTACAGAAAGAGAAGAAGACTCTGTGTTCTCAGGAATTGAATTTTCTATTTCGCTATTAATTCATCTTTAATTGTCCCAAATCGCTGCGTGTTGAAAATATTTTTAATTTTATTTAAAAATACACTTTTAATAAGCTAAAATGATACAACTTGTGAATTTTTGTGACAATTATTTGACAGATGATTCAAAAACCAATTTTATATGCAATTGTTACTACGGTAACGATTTAATCAACAGAAAATTTATCCGATTTTTTTATCCAGTTATATTTTCTCTTCCTTCCTATTTATCCGCTAGCAAACTACGATTTTTGACATTTCAAATGGGATAATTTATACATGAGTGGAATTGTCAATCACATTTAATTATTACGTAATTATGCATTTTTATTTAAAAACAAAACTACTTGAAAATTGGAAAAATAACATTCCAATGTTACTCGTAATTCGGTTTCTAAACATAAACATAGCACAAAAGAGAATAGGGGATTCAGATAGTTGAACCGATAAGTAATTTTTGATTAGTCAGCTACTTGAAGTATTGAAAAACATGCGTGATTCATTATTTTTTTTGAAAATAAAATGTTTAGATATGTCACTTGTTTACGGAGAATCGTTACAGAATGGTCATTTAGCCGCCAGAATTTACAGGGAAAGATTCCTAATAAGAGGGCACCTAACGAAATAACATTTGTGTCAGTTATGCAAAGATTGCGGGAAATGTAGTGCGGAAAATATTGATCGGGGACCTGCGAGACCAATGCCATCTGTCGATAAATATGAACAGACATTTTTCTTTTAATTTACCTATACCTACCTGTTTGTTCTTATCTCTCAGGCACCCCTGCACATTATTAACATTTTTCTAAATTTAAATTCTGCCAAAACTTCGAGAATACTAAGAATTGAACCATGGTTATTAGGACAGGTTTAGCTTGAAACGGGCCATGTTATCTCATGTTAAAATATTTGTACTCATATCTTATACACCCTATATAGAAATTCATAAATATTATATGGATATTATATTAATTACCTATTTATAATCTTTAAATTGCCTACTCAAATAATTTATCCTAAAAGTTATTGTCGCTGCTATAATCCAACTTGGTTTACAGATATCGATATCACAACCAATAACCTCTAATAATACCAACCAATTAACTTAGGTAGGTACATAAAACTGTTGAAGAATAAATTTGAATGATGATATCTATATACCCACCTATACTATACATTGCCCAACAATTGTAGATATAGTTTATTAATGCACATTTTCTTTACTTAATTTTGGGGCCCCTGAAATAACCTTAAAACTCACCATTAAAAATATATATTTTTTCTACATTACTATTACTATAAGTAAGTCCCTAGTCCGCCTCTAATTATCAGTTTTAAAACACAAAAGTCATAGTTTTACAACAATAATTGTGTACTTATTTAAAATAATTGTGCGATTCTTTTCGTTTGTATAGGAATTATCATTAAATAGGTATAACCGGTATAGGTACGTTTGGTGAGGATTAGTGCGTAATTATGATAGGATTAATGAAGTCTGACAACCCAAATGATGGAACTTCCAAAGAATTAAAAAAAAATGGACACCTGAGCAAGAAATATTAATATAACAAACTATTTAATATAGGTATGTACCTAGTTAAACAAATGTCAATTTGGTAAAATTTATCCATGATAACTTGAAACAGTCCCAAAAACATTTCTTATGAAAATCCATCTCTAATTTAGTAATTTACTAAGAGAAACTACCTAATTATTATGGAAGTTTGTTTAAAATCTTGATAAGTATATATAAGTATAGATAAAATACCTAGATACTTACCTAATTTATCATTGCTTCAGATACATTATTTATGAAGCTGAAAACCTTGTCTCCTCAGCATTTCAAAATTTATTTCACAAAATAATTAGCTCATAAACTTCGCTAATTAATAAGTTTAATCAATATAAATATAGGTATGTACTAAATAAAATTATATTCCCAAGGATTGAATCTTTATGTGAGAAGTTTGTTTTTAATAAGACAGGTGCCCTTCTTGTTTTCATTTAGTAACGTCTCCAATGGGTATATGTCCTTTAGCGGCTTTGTCTTTAACATCTCTATAACAGTATATTTTTGATACCACCTCTTCAATATATCTCATTAACGAATTGGTTGGTCTCCATTATTGTTAATATTTTTTAGATACCTAGTTGTTTGGGAAGACATCCAAACTAGGTACAATTGATTAGGATAATATTTTGCTTTGGTGACACTTTATAATAACTATACATTTTGATGTATCACTGATGTAGAGTTTTGGGTTAACATTTTCTAGAAAGGAGAACATTTTCTTTATTTGATGTCTGCCTACCTGAGGTTATTCTCATACCAAGTATGCTCTAAAAAATTCAGTATCATGTATACCTAACTGATCAAAATAAGTGTTTGATCATAAATCATTAGCAATTACTTCCTATATCTGTTCTTTGAAGTATACAAAAAAAAATAACAATATTTTCATTATTTCAGATACTCGAATCCACGCATCCGCGAACCCAACCAACACCCAGAGTGCCTACTCCTAGAACAGGTTCTTTTATGGTTGGAACGAAGCGGTGGACCAGCTCTACCGCTAAACCTTGGTCCCGATGCGTTTCGAAAGTACGCTGGACGCACCCGAAGCCGTGAAAAAAATGGCCTACCATCCGTTTCTTCAATTACCACGCCAGACGGACTTTAGCGTGTCCTCGTTACTCACGGCAGCCAACAACAACTCACCCTCCAACACGTCACCGACTGGACCTGGAGGGGCCGGTGCCTTTTTTCCCTCGTTGTTGGCCCAGCAAGCCGCTGCTGGTCCGCACGGGTGTTATCCAGGAACTTTGATACCCAAAATACCTCATCCGCATCACGCGTTGCCTGGACATCCTTATACCACTGCTGAGGACGTACTTTTACAGGTCAGTTTTTGTTTTTATGTATTAATACTGTCACAAAAATCAATTTGAAATTTAAAGTTTGTTTCTTCCATTATAGGCTGTCCATAACCACCATTCTGCTATGGTAAGGCCTCTGCGTGCAATTCAACCAGAAGATGATGGTGTGGTTGATGATCCCAAAGTGACCTTAGAAGGCAAAGACCTTTGGGAAAAGTTTCACAAATTAGGAACTGAGATGGTGATAACTAAAAGCGGAAGGTAGGTGTCAATTTATATTCAAAATATTTTTTAAATTTGTTAAACATTGATCGATTACGCATACGCATGTCTAATAATAAACGCAACACAAACATTAAACATAAAAAAAAGGGGGGAAACGGCATTAAAACTAAAACATCATTACAAAAAGTATAATAAGAGAATTAAAAGGCCATTTAATTCATTTTCGATTCCTATATTATAGTCGGCGGATTACACCGAAAAATTATATTAACTAAATTGAAAAGTAATGTTTTGTGTTTTTAGTCCGTTTCTAATGGTTTATTAATGATGACAACTTCGCTTGGATAGGCTCTTTTTTTTTCTCGCTTTGTTTGCTCTTGTTTTTTCATTTGAAATTGCTTATACCTATTCGTTTAAAATGTTTATGCGAGAAGTTTGAATTTTTTTTTTTGTGTTTTTGGTAATTATGGTTCACTTGTTTTCATCCAACAAAATAGAATTCGCTTTTGAAACATTTTAGATTCAGAATTTGGTTGGACAAGTCCTTTCTTTATCTGCTTGATGAATTTATGTAGATTGTCTTCTAATAAAGACATGAATACCCAGTTTCCTGATAAACATTTGATATTTGTTATTCCTGTACCACAATTGGCCAACTATTGACTTGTGTATAATTCTGGATTTGTTTCTATACTTGAGATCGAGAGCTTATTTCTTTATTTCTTGAATTGTCTGAGTACATTTCTAAATTAAAGCCGAACACCATAAATTTCTATTTTCTGAACGGTTCTAGAGTAGTTTGCCGAAATCCAAACATGTTGTTTTCAACTGCGTATACTCCAAACAGTTGTTCTAGAACAGTAATTGCACGAACCTAAATGAAAAATTACTTTATCTCCACATGATGCATGCAAATATTTGCTTAAGTTCTCGCTCTCCTTCAACTTGTAACATAACTTGACTGATTAGCGTACAAATTGCCATTGATCAAATTAGAAATTACTTACAGCATATCAGTTGTCGGGGCGGTGCAAAATCAAATTCATACTTACGTATCTTAATGACAAGACATTTGCATAAGTAGGCATCGAACAAACATATTTTTATGGCGTTTTCCTTCTCGGTACAAAAACTGTATTAATTTTACTTACTCTACGAGACATCGCCTGAATCGATATATTTACTTTGACTTGTTTTATTAATTTTGTTTGCTGTAGGAATGTTTTTCATTTGGTTTCTGGTATGATACATTTAAGATCTTGTAGCGGAATAGTAATATTAATTTATAAAAATTACCTCTATACAGTAGATGCTAAATTATGCGATAGTGAACAATGAAAATTTAACAGAAGAGATTCAATACAGCAACAGTGGCAACCTTGATTCTTTGGTATTGAATTGGCTTATATTCGCTGAAAATTCATAATCTAATGGAAGATTTCTAAGTATATGTATTTACTTATATATTTCCACTCATTTTCATTATCTTTCAAATATTCTTCAAAACTTGAAAGGCCTTTTTCTCAAAAATTGTTGAGTTTGGATCTTTTCGTATGTAAACTATTTTGTTCAAAATGGGCCATATTCTCACGTGTCTTTATAGTAAATACATATACTTGAAAATCTTTTATTAAACCTTGATTCACCCTAAGAAATTTTGCTTTGGGATTGTATCCCCTAAGAATTACTTGGAGTAGGTATTCTACCATTGACGCATGTTTTGCAGAAGTTTCAACTTTTGAAGCTCATTAGATCCCATGTCGTTTTTACTGTATATTTCCATTAATTTTCATTATCTTTCAAATATTCGTCAAAACTTGAAAGGCCATTTTATCAAAAATTGTTGAGTTTGAATCTTTTGTTGTGTAAACTATTTTGTTCAAAATGGGCCATATTTTTACGTGTCTTTGTAGTAAAACCGAATAATAATTAGTGGAAATATGTAAGCAAATACATATACTTAAAAATCTTTTATTAAACCTCGATTCACCCTATGAAACTTTGTTTTGGGGTTGTATCCACTAAGAATTACTTGGAGTAGGTATTCTACCATTGACGTATGTTTTGCAGGAGTTTCGACTAGGTCTATAAACCTAGCAGTCCCAAGGTGGAAAAAAAACTTCGGGAACTATATAATAATTAGGTGCTTTTTAGGTGCTAATTAGGACCTCTAATTAAAAATTAGGTGCTCCTTTAGTTTTTGAGAAAATCGAAAAAAAAACTAAGGGATTGCTAGGTTTATATAAGCTAGCAGTCCCCTATAGTAAAAAATATTTTTTCGATTTTTTTATTTGTATCAGAATTAGGTGCTTTTTAGGTGCTCCTAAATAGTCCAAGAAAAAATAGAATTGATTAATTATTAACTGAGTTACAGATTTTTTTTTAATTATTAGGGGACTTCTAGCTTTCATAAACCTAGCAGTCCCTTAGTTTTTTTGATTTTCTCAAAAACTAAAGGAGCACCTAATTTTTAATTAGAGGCCCTAATTAGCACCTAAAAAGCACCTAATTATTGTATAGTTCCCGAAGTTTTTTTTCACCTTGGGATTGCTAGGTTTCGACTTTTGAAACTTATTAGATCCCATTTCGTTTTTACTGTATATTTCCACTAATTTTCATTATATTTCAAATATTCGTCAAAACTTGAAAAGCATTTTTCTCAAAAATTGTTGAGTTTGGATCTTTTGGTACCTATGTGAACTATTTTGTTCAAAATGGGCCATATTTTCACATGTCTTTGTAGTAAAACCTAATAATAATTAGTGGAAATATGTAAGCAAATACATACTTAAAAATCTTCTATTAAACCTTGATTCACCCTATGAAACTTTGTTTTGGGATTGTATCCCCTAAGAATTACTTGGCGTAGGTATTCTACCATTGACGCATGTTTTGCAGGAGTTTCGACTTTTGAAGCTTATTAGATCCCATTTGGTTTTTACTGTATATTTCCACTAATTTACATTATCTTTCAAATATTCATCAAAACTTGAAAGACCTTTTTCTCAAAAATTGTTGTTTGGATCTTTTGGTATGTAAACTAGTTTGTTCAAAATGGGCCATATTCTCACGTGTCTTTGTAGTAAAACTTAATAACAATTAGTGGAAATATATAAGTAAATACATATACTTAAAAATCTTTTTTTAAACCTTGATTCACCCTATATGAAACTTTGTTTTGGGGTTGTATCCAATAAGAATTACTTGGAGTAGGTATTCTACCATTGACGCATGTTTTGCAGGAGTTTCGACATTTGAAGCTTATTAGATCCCATTTCGTTTTTACTGTATATTTCCACTAATTTTCATTAGATATGTTCCAAATATTCGTCAAAACTTGAAAAGCCTTTTTCTCAAAAATCGTTGAGTTTGGATCTTTTGGTACGTAAACTATTTTGTTCAAAATGGGCCATATTCTCACGTGTCTTTGTAGTAAAACTCAATAATAATTAGTTGAAATATGTAAGCAAATACATATACTTAAAAATCTTTTTTTAAACCTTGATTTACCCTATGAAACTTTGCTTTGGGGTTGTATCCCCTAAGAATTACTTGGAGTAGGTATTCTACCATTGACGCATGTTTTGCAGGAGTTTCGACTTTTGAAGCTTATTAGGTCCCATTTCGTTTTTACTGTATATTTCCACTAATTTTCATTATCTTTCAAATATTCGTCAAAACTTTTAAGGCCTTTTTCTCAAAAATTGTTGTTTGGATCTTTTGTTATGTAAAGAATTTTGTTCAAAATGGGCCATATTTTCACGTGTCTTTGTAGTAAAACTTAATAATAATTAGTGGAAATATATAAGTAAATACATATACTTAAAAATCATTTATTAAACCTTGATTCACCCTATATGAAACTTTGTTTTGGGGTTGTATCCCCTAAGAATTACTTGGAGTAGGTATTCTACCATTGACGCATGTTTTGCAGGAGTTTCGACATTTGAAGCTTATTAGATCCCATTTCGTTTTTACTGTATATTTCCACTAATTTTCATTAGATATGTTCCAAATATTCGTCAAAACTTGAAAAGCCTTTTTCTGAAAAATCGTTGAGTTTGGATCTTTTGGTACGTAAACTATTTTGTTCAAAATGGGCCATATTCTCACGTGTCTTTGTAGTAAAACTCAATAATAATTAGTTGAAATATGTAAGCAAATACATATACTTAAAAATCTTTTTTTAAACCTTGATTTACCCTATGAAACTTTGCTTTGGGGTTGTATCCCCTAAGAATTACTTGGAGTAGGTATTCTACTATTGACGCATGTTTTGCAGGAGTTTCGACTTTGGAAGCTTATTAGGTCCCATTTCGTTTTTACTGTATATTTCCACTAATTTTCATTATCTTTCAAATATTCGTCAAAACTTGTAAGGCCTTTTTCTCAAAAATTGTTGAGTTTGGATCTTTTGGTATGTAAACTATTTTGTTCAAAATGGGCCATATTTTCACGTGTCTTTGTAGTGAAACCTAATAATAATTAGTGGAAATATGTAAGCAAATAAATATACTTAAAAATCTTTTATTAAACCTTGATTCACCCTATGAAACTTCGTTTTGAGGTTGTATCCCCTAAGAATTTCTTGGAGTAGGTATTCTACCATTGACGCATGTTTTGCAGGAGTTTCAACTAGGTCTATAAACCTAGCAGTCCCAAGGTGGAAAAAAAACTTCGGGAACTATATAATAATTAGGTGCTTTTTGGGTTAGAATTATTTGTAGGTATTCTACCATTGATGCATGTTTTGCAGGAGCTTCGACTTTTGAAGCTTATTATTTCCCATATCGTTTTTACTGGTTTCTTCTTCTTTGGCTGTTTGAAGTCTTTCCCAACATTTCGTTATTGCTGTCTCTATATTATCATCTTTGCATAATTAACTCCCAAACACTTTCCTTCATGATGATAACTTTTCTCACAATTTTTTTGAAATTGAACTTTGTATCGAGCTACATCATTTACACGCTTGCCAACACTACTGTGACTATGAATATAGTGTCATACTTTAACGGCAGTCAGTTTTAGTAACTTTT